GGTGACTAACGGGATCGTAATACTATGGTCAGGCTCGCTGACTTGTTTGATGCATGTCATTGATCCCAATTGCTTGGATCGATGCTCATGATGTCAAACACTGGACTGTTTGGTCCAGACTCGATTATTTACAGACCACCGTCCTATAGCTGGAATATTGCTGAACGCGGCGTTAAACAAACAAACAAACCACCATCTTAAAATCATGACAATGGCTAAGAATCCGCGAGAACGTTGATTTCGACATCCTCTCTGTTGTCTCTCCATGACTCTGGTCCTGCTTATCAGCATGTCATCGATCCCAATTGCATTGATCGATGCTCATGATATCGATCGCTGGATTGTCTGGTCCAGACTCGATTATTTACAGACCGCCGTCATATAGTTGGAATATTGCTGAGTGCGGCGTTAAACAACAAACCTAACCTAACCTAGCCTATCTGCAAGAACTGTTTCTCCAACACAAAGAAACACCCAGAAATGACTTGTCTGTACCGAAACTCAAACTTCTGTGCTTGATGCTTCTCTCATACAGGTGCTTCACTATGGACCTCTCTTCCTATCAAATGAGCCTAGTGTCACTGTGTCTAAATCTGAACAGATCACGTGCCTGTTCGGACGTTACAACTGATTCACAGGCAGTTGTCCTGAGGCCTTTGTAGAAATATGCCCACAATCACATTACATATAGCAGGGTCTGAGTCGTATTGCCTAATATATCAATTAATCCATAGAAGACCTGTTTATTTTCTGCTTCCTTATTGTCCTCTGTGTGTGTGTGTATTTGTATTATCTCACTGTCCCCTCTCTGTTGTATATATACTGAACCGCAAAAGAAACGTCACCCAAGTAACATTGCATGAAAAGTTGTCATTTAAATATCTGGGTATTTTTTTCCAAGTTTCTAAAATTTAACATTACCTTGTCCGGAAAAATGAAATTTTTTTGATAAAAAACAAAGCAGATGACAATAAAACCGATCGCCCAAACGCATCACGGCAACGGCCATGGTAACCCGATGCACGTGAGTTCCGTGCAAATTGAAATGCACATGCGTTACCCCATTTCTTGCCCTATAAACATCCAACCAGATCGGATAACGTTCATTCGTTATTGAACTGGTACCACGTGCCAAGATTGACAAGAATCAGCGACACCAAGCCTTTGGACGATTGCAAGCTGGACAAACCTCCCGGCAAGTAGCCAATGCCAATGGTCCAAGAAAGGACCATATACAGGCTCCAGCAATGGTACCAGACCACCAACACTACAGATGACCGATCTCGTAGTGCAAACTGGACAAACCGCCCGGCAAGTAGCCAGAGGGTCCCTGAGAGCGTGGGCTCAAGTGCCTATGGCCTTCATCAACCACCTCATCCATTCCATGTATCGGCGTTGCACGGCAGTCATCAATGCCCATGGCGATACACGAGATACTGACATGTGATGCCATTTTCTCATAGACTACTATATAGTGTTAAGTTTCACTTTAAGAACATTTGACACTTTAATTTCAATCTTAATGGTCAGTTTTGCCAAGTTTCAAGTTTTTTATATGTCTCAAAGTATGTTTACAGTGTTTGGACAAATGAGGTCTCTCATATATCTATTCATGGTGACGTTTCTTTTGCGGTTCAGTATACGTACATATGATATGTTGTGTTGGGCATTGAAATGCCTGTCAGGGATTAATGCACCGTAATTTAGTAACTAAAGGTGTAATTATTATAATAATCAAACAGATGAGCAGACAGAGAAACCCCTATGATGCAATTGAAAAATATGATGCGGAAGTACATGTAGGTCGCCAGCTTGACCATTAAAATAGCTCAGCGCTTCAGTCAAACACCGGGAACCCGTTTTGACACAAGTTTTTCTTTAGGGGGACGATTTCACCTGGTTCTTTTTTCAAAAATATGTTTGGTCATGCATTTGTGATTAAGTATGCGTTTAAGTACTGTACTCTGTACAGTTGCAACCGAATTTAACCGCAAACGGCGGGTCGGCATGGAGTACGATCTAGCGTGTATTTCCCTTCCAACAGTGACGACACATAGAGCCTCTGGGTATATCGTTTCCACTCTCTATGCATTTTCGTTTCAGTCTTAGAAACTGATTGATAGGATTATAAAGTGCAAATTAACCTTATTTACGCGCCGCTTTCAATGTTTGGAGTACGATAGATTCTTTAACAATGGTATGATCTATCTAATTATGCAAGTTCTAGCTACTAATGGAACTTGCATTTTAAGGGGTTTTTTTAAAATTTGAAATGTTTTCAGGATTACTGACGATAACTGACGATTTGCTACAAAGGATTTCTAGTGTAAATGTGAGATGCTTGACTTCCTTGCGCTCGCCCTCCTCGCTTATGTTTCTTTTTTGTATTCATACGAATCGGGGTGAGTGAGTTGGGTTTACGCTGCTTTTAACATTATTCCAGTTATATCACGGCGTGTCAGCTTAATGTGGAAAGGAAAATCCAAAAGTGATGCAGGTCTTAGACGTTTACCACTTCGGTGAAACCCACGAGCACGGGTATGGTGCTGACAAACCTAGAAACATAATCGGGGCGAACCGGGATTCGAACCCACAATCAATGATTTGATATCGTATAGTAATGGCCATGTAGTCAATTCCATTCCCTTGATCTACCCATACCCACCTGCACTATTAATAAAAGACACAGGTGAAACCGCCTCTTCTGCTTCATATTTAGATCTATGCATTTAGATTCAGAGTGACAAAATGCTATCCACAAGTCTGTTTGACCTTACATGACAACATTCAATAAACTGCCCGACAATGTACAAAGAGTGGGAATTTCAACTCTCCGTGTTCCGCACATCGCATAAAACGTCCACGTGACTTGGTCAGGTCACACGAGATGGTGGTGTGAAATTCCACAATATTCCACCAATGAGCCCAGACTGTAATAAAATTAAACTTCACTTCAGTGCTTGATAACCCTTTCATATAAGTGTGTCTATCTAAATCACGTTCCATGTCATGAAGTGACTCGTGAAGTGCAAATTCAATCAGCTGTACGAATACAGACGGACGCCATGTTTGTTTACTGGACTAGCTGAGACGTCATAATTATGGCAACGCTACTGATAGCGGGAATCATTTTCCACATACTTGTTTGCCGTTTTATGATAATTTTAAAATTTGTTGTAATAAAGAACGAAATAACCTCTCAGGAGTAAGATTTAATTCAGGATGACGGCTCCCAGGCCAGTGGGTGATTGTGTTCGTTATCGTCAAGGTGACGTGTTTGCTGGTAAGTTATGTTCTGTGTGATCGTAAGTGATGTCTTGGGCCAGGGGAAGGTTAGATGGTTGGTTGGTTGGTTGTTTAACGCCGCACTCAGCAATATTCCAGCTATATGACGGCGGTCTGTAAATAATCGACTCTGGACCAGACAATCCAGTGATTGATATCATGAGCATAGATCCACGCAATTGGGATCGATGACATGCATCAACCAAGTCAGCGAGCCTGACCACCCGATCCCATTAAGTCGCCTTTTACCACAAGCATAGTCGCCTTTTACGGCAAGCATGGGTTGCTGGAGACCTATTCCCTCCCGGATCTTCACGGGTCGCTAGGGGAAGGACCAGTAGACATTATTCTTGACCAGAGTGCTGCTGTGTGCGCATGTACATGATTGTAAGTGCTGTGTAACCAAATAACCAACATGTACGCAAGACATCGGTGTTTCATCACAGTATAATTCCGATCCAGCAATTGCATCCATTTTAGCGATATGTGTGGTGCTTACAGAGAACTCTGCATTGTAGGTTCGAGCGTCTTGAACAGAGTAGTTGAAGGAACATACAGCTGTGGACTCTTAGGCAAATCTGTGCCCTCGATCCCCAGAATACCTGCAGGACTTTTGGGGACAAATGTTTATTTATTTCTCTGAAAGCTTTCAACGCCACGTTGGACACTCGCTATTTCAGTTCATCATATCACAATGGGCATGGTACTGACAAATACAAAACAAAAACATGAAAATCTAGGATTCAAAGCAACGATACTGCACAGCGATTTGCGGGCCTTAGGTGACATAACATCCAATAACATATCCTGGTAAATTCATTATTATTTAGGGCAAGCTCGTTTGCAATTTACGCCACGTGAACCATGAATGAATTTCAGGTTGTAATATGTCCCCAGAGACGTACATGTATGGTACAACGGAATCGTTCCTAACAGACTTGTATCATTCCCTGACGAGACGAGACTGGTGCCTATCTCAAAGAATCCCATGTTGGCCTATGATCATGCGAACTACTTCAAAAATGAATTGTGTTTACGTTTAGCTGTAGTTATTTATAAGCCCTTTAGCAGTACTCGCTTAAATATGGTGGAAAAGAACTATTTCTTTATGACAGAAAAAAACACCTTAACATGTATCATCTTTTATTTGCAAACTAGTTTTTCTTAGTAAGATTGATATATTTGATAATAACCAAAACAATAATGTAAAGAAATACAATGAATGGCGGTTTGCTGTCTCTTTCTTGTTTGAATGAATAATTTATCCTTTCATTATTGAATTGTTCTTTTCATGCAGAATAAGGACACAAATGTAAAAAAGAACACTTTATATGTGTGCATCCAGTCACTTTGTTAATACATGCTAAATCCACCATGCCCAGTCATGCATAGCAGCTTTAGACTCTTTTAGTATAAAAAGTTCATCAAGATGTTGAGAAGAAAGAAAAACAAACAACCTAATCAACTAATGTAAACACATCAAGCTATGTACCAACAATATGCTGAAGAATGTTTGTTGTTTAACGCCGCACTCAGCAATATTCCAGCTATGTGACGGCGGTCTGTAAATAATCGAATCTGGACTAGACAATCCAGTGATTGACATCATGAGCATCTATCCATGCAATTGGGATCAATGACATGCATCAAACAAGTCATCGAGTCTGACCACCAAAAATCCCCGTTAGTCGCCTCTTACGACAAGCATAGTCGCCTTTACGGAAAGCTTGGGTTGCTGAAGACCTATTCTACCCCGGATCTTCACGGGTATGCTGATGAATGTGTACAGCTTTGATATTGCTGGTATTCATATACAATGTTGAAATCATATACATTTTTACACATTTGACAAGCCCGAATAAATGTACATATTTGTCAATGCAGCATCACAGACAAAGCATGAATTCATATAAATATAAAACGTCAACAACATCAACAACAACAACAACAACAACAACGAAGAATAATCATTCTCTATTACCTCAGTGATTAACAATAATCTTTAATACATTCAAGGAGGGCTTTCTTTAATGTCACAGAAAGTTTTCGATACAATTGTAATTGATATATTGTGGATTCTCAGAAACTCAAATGATTGTTTTTAATCTCTTCAGTCTCAGAAAAGAACCAAGTTCAATTATGTCAAAACATGTTTGATCTGACATCATTCAAAATGGGCCAAATATACAATTTTTGATTTACCAAACAGAGTTAGAAGTAAAAGAGACCAATGAAAGTGCCTCGCCTGCTACATATTCAGATTTATTCATTAATCAGAGTGGCAAAATACTATCCACAGGACTTCCACTTTCCAATAATCAACTTTCCATCTATGCTGATCAATATTTCAGCTGCTGCAGTCTATGGTGTCTACATTTCATACTGTTCATGTATAAACGACCATGGTCTTTTGTCGAAATATCCATACATCTTCTGCTCAAACGTTATGTGATAAGGGTGACAACGTTTAAGCCAGTGATTCTTAAACACAAGATTGTTATATTTTGGGAATCGTATAATAGCCTCTGCTTGTAGCAGAGACTTCTTATGATTTTGGGAGGATGTAGTTACTTTAACACTTCTTTTGTCAACAACAATACTTGTTACGATTGCATCAAGCTAGTCTGGTCTTTGTTGAGAAGTGTTTTGCAGTATATTGTCATAGCTGTATATATTTCAGTACACAAACAATATAACGTTAGTTTTCAAAAAAGCTAAATATGATACCACTTGTATAAGAAGACGGTCTGTTGGTTTGTTGTTTAACACCACACTCAGCATTATTCAGCTATATGATGGCGGTCTGTAAATAATCGAGTCTGGCCCAGACAATTAAGTGATCGATAGCATGAGCATCGATGACATGCATCAACCAAATCAGCGAGCCTGACCACCTGATCCCATTAGTCGCCTCTTACTTACAAGCATAGTCGCCATTTATCGTTGTGGTTTGTCGTCTTATCTTCCTTTTAAACACGTCATTAGATCTGCGAAAAATACAATCAAAAGTGGCACAAAACAGACAAGAAGTCCACTCACCCCGATACAGTTTGATGAAACTCGATAGTCGGGAATACTCATTTTCTTTCTCACATACGAAGACAATGCAGACGTTTCCAGAACCAATGCCGAATACTTCTCCTGCAAGCTTACCAATACCTCTGGCAGGGGTATAGTCTTGCAATGGCACAGACAATTCTGAGATGCTGTAGATGTAGATGTTATTATAGTAACGGAAGCTTGGGTATGAGTCGCTTTTATTTGTGTTTGCATGTGTGCATCCATAAATGTTTGACTTAGCGTTTGAATGGACACTTGCGTATGCCTAGTTGGATGTGAAAGCGTAGACAGCTGGGATGTTTCTGTCCGTATCAGTACTGGCTCAGTTGACGTTGACACATCAGCAGCCAGATCTAGAGCAGAGGATGGAACAGGCACCGTGAATACAGTTGATGTTGTTGCTGAGAGTTGAGATGGCGTGGTCACTGGGTTGTTGGTTATTGTTTGAGATGGTGTTGCCAATGACATGAACGTAGTGAGTTTGTCACTTGACACGTCATCCTCTTCTACAAATAATGGAGACTGTAATGTTGTTGTAGCCGTGAACATGAACAACTGCGTTGGTCTACTGCTTATATGACTTGACAATATTCCCTCTAGTTTGGAAGACGATGCAGACTCATAGTGGACTGTACTTGTTGGCATTGACAAACCCATAGTCAGCATGTCTTGTACTGTTGAAAGTTCATTCTTCATAGAAGTTGTCTTGTCGATCATTGAATCTGTATTTGCTGAATACAAAAGAGCCGATGAAGTAATAATTAGTGACATCTTATCAATTATTTCAAAATTTAACGTCGCTTCGGCATTTTATCGGCCATATAGTGATGTGAACACGTTGATATATATGCAGTTGGCTCATGAATAGAAGTTATATTTTTAACAAGTTTGTCAAACATAGTTGGGCTTAATAATATTATTCATAACTATAAAACACGGGCCATAAGCCACCAGTACCAAAGCTAGGCCACCCCTCTGGAGATCATGGACTTACGGTGCCTCGGTATCCTGCACGATAGTCTAGCAGGATTTATGTCATAACTTTAGCTACGGTGGTTGTGCACAACACTAGCCAATATTAAAAAGTACTTAGCGATGAGTTGGTTTGAAACACTGGTTGATGATAGTTACATCGATTAGGAAATACGTATCACACAGGCGGACAATCATGTTTCAGTACTTTAACCTCCTGGGTATAGCCTTCCATAATCTTTGTTGATAAAAGCATCACACCAAATTTACAAACAAGCCATTAGTTATTCACATACATATTTAAAAATTATGATACAGACCAAATTATTTCAAGTAACTTCAGTCGAGATGCCCTTTTACACGGAAAAAGAGATATTTCAGATTTAGACTGTTTGATAACGTGAATCAATTGCAATTGCAAAGTCCACACAGTCAAGCAATATTTGTTTGACGGTGAGCCTTCCATCACAAGGGATACCCGTAGGAGGTTCGTCCTCATCTGTCTAAATTATAAGCAGATATTCATGGGTAAACCCGCTCTGGCCAATTCGACATCGTCCCAAACGACCTCATCATGTCTTGACTGACAACCCAAGTACGTAGTTTTGACCGATTGTTGGTTTGAATACATGAAGTTTATTGATTCCAACCTGGGCGTCCCACCTTTTTTGCATGAGATCCCGAGCATACCTCCTGAGGGTTGGTTTCAAATTGCTGCACGGGATAAGGAGTGGATATAACTGTTTAAGTTAGTGAGTGAGTGAGTGATTTTGGTTTAACGCCGCTTTTAACAGTATTCCAGTTATATCACGGCGTGTCAGCTTGATGTGGGAGGAAAGCCCGAAGTGATGCAGGTCTCAGACGTTTACCACTTCGGTGAAACCCACGAGCACCGCTATGGTTCTGACAAACCTAGAAACATAATTGGGGCGAACCGGGATTCGAACCCACAATCATAGGTTTCTGGCGTGCCCAAGGGACGCAACTCTGCACAGCGAATCGCGGCGCCTTAGACGACTGGGTCACCCGTGCCCCCTCTGTTTGAGTTACATGTTATGCCTTCATGACTTGGCAACCGAAAAAAGACAATGTCACATTGGCCATTATAAAGATCATTGTAAAGTTCTAAAATGTCTAGGATAAAAGGGTGATTTGACACATGTCAGATGATTACATTTTTACATTCATTTTGTTGTTTATTATAAGTCAAAGCTGTTGAGATAGCTTTTTACCAGGTTTGGCAAATTTTGAAACAAGTTTTCATACAGAGGGTTGAAAACACATTTGCATGCTGGATTTGACTGATTTGAATGCAATCTATGGATGTATTTCAGTGATAGTTTAATGCGGCGTTGTTCGAGGGAAGGGTTATAAATTTGTCACATACAAACTGTCCGAGGAGAGGTTCTAAAATTTCCAAAACAGAGCCTAAGGCCTTGGTGGTGTATAGTGACCAACATGTCTGTTGCTATTGCAGGCTCCACCATAGACAATGGAACCATATTCGAGTTTAGAGCGTGTCAGCGATCTTTACAAGTGAAGGAGGGTTGTCTGATCCCCTCCCTACTCGGAATTTGAAACGACTTTTAACAAGTGAAAAATTTGATGAGTGGTAAGAATGTGAGATGACGGTCAAATATATGCCCTCTAAATGCTATCTAGTTGACGAGGAATACATCTGATAAGTGTATTGTTCTTTTACTGTCAAGCTGCTGGGTGCGTGGACACGCTCTAGTATCACCCACAAGGTAGATGTCTGTACAGTGTCTATAGTCTGTTTCATTACTATGCCGTGTGTTATTACACTTGTGAGGGGGCACGGGTGGCCTAATCGTTTAGGCGCCGCGATTCGCTGTGCAGAGTTGCGTCCGAAACCTATGACGCAAACCTATGATTGTGGGTTCGAGTCCCGGTTCGCCCCGATTATGCTTCTAGGTTTGTCAGCACCATACCCGTGCTCGTGGGTTTCGCCTGCATAACTTCAGGCTTTCCTCCCACATTAAGCTGACACGCTGTTAAAAGCGGTTAAACCCAACTCACTATTAGAATTGTCTTTATGTAAACAGATATTTTGTTGTTAACATATTATCATGTAAAGTCACCTGTGTACTGTTGTATACCTGTCTGAGATTATAGAGAGGCACATTTATGTACTTTGTTCCTTTTGATGACATGTTATCCAGGTGTTATGTTATATATATTGTGTATAGTTTTTTTATTACAATGTGTCTTCTTCCAAAAATACGGAATAAACCGGTATCTTACTCACAACCCGTAGCCTGTGGTTATTGACCATAACAACACTATTTCATGGCTGCCTTAATAGGACCCTTCTGACGTTTTCATCGATTTACTGACGTAGTTGATGAAATAGTAAGGAATACAATAGAATACAGTACAACAGCTTTAATACTACTGGAATTTACTCACTGTCGCACTGGAGCGGAAAAAAGAAAGCAAACAACATGTCTGCTTGAGGAAAGGAGGGGAGTGAGTACACATACAAAGAGGAGTTTAATGTGTGTCTAGAAATTGGGATTGTGTGGAACTGAGTCATTGTAATAAACAACTCAGTTATCATTAATGTCAGGATGGTATACATCAAATAACTTAACCTTGTGGACAGAGTATTGTATGTGGGATTTGATTCACGCTTGGGTGGACTGCCAAATGACCTGAGCTACGCTGAAAAATGCTTCAAACGACTCACCAGCAAGATATATCTTGCAAACTGTAATGGCTCGATGATTACTGCACTTGGTGTGACTCCACAAGCGCTGCTTGTTATCTCCTATTATCCATGCACACTGAAGGTTGTTGTACGGCGGAACTTCTGATTTAGCTGAAAATAGGAATCTTGGGTAATTTTTTATTCAAGGTTGTTAACCAGGGGAACTTCAGCTTAAGATGACACTAGGAGCTGGAGGACGAATTTGAATTGGACTGGTTTGTGTAGCTGTAAATAGAAATTTTGGGAAATTTATATTCAAGATATTAATTGACGCGAATAGTCTCTATTATTTTGGTTTTAAAGAAAACTAAGCAATTGTTGTCAGTAAATGTGTTACATATTTAGGGTCGTTTGTGACAACTTTAATCAGTGTTTACCGGTTCCTGTATTGTTTATCCTTGTTCTCCTACTGTTTCCATAAAAAATTGTTCATGGTGTCATGATCAAAAAGACTGAGTTGACCTTTCTATACATACATATTGTGCATATCTAAATAAAATAAGCCTATTTTAAAGAACTGGCGATAAAATGAATAGTATGTAGGAAGCTTAGGAACTCTGGAAAGAACCAGTTCATATCACTTGAGGCAGATCGAGATCATTCCCTGACGTTGATGTATATTTACTTGTGCTTCTCCAGTGATGCGAAGTGGGATAGGTATCCACCAAGGAGTTGTCATCCATCCAGCGCCATTCATTACCCACAGCGGAGTCATTCAGGCCGAGCCACAACCTTTCTCCACCTCTCCTTGCATTGTAAACGAAAATTCAATAATTAGACAAACGTCATAAAACAGTTTAATATAAGCCATTGTTAATAGAATCCTACGTGAAGACCCAAGGGAGGCTTTGTGTTTGATTTTGTACCGAGTTGTTACAGAGATAGGTCTTTTCCTGCTTACTTGGCTTAGCATCATTATGGCTTAGCATGAATTATTACAAGGAGATAACAATTATGGAGGGGGAAATACAGGTAAAGTACAGACGAGGATCCAGTTGGATATATACTGCGCAAAAATAGTAGATCTATGGGTTTACAGGAGATAAAACTGAAAACGAAACAGCTATTTATTTAGAATACAAATTTGCATACAAGGAAAATTAGGGAATGAATGTGACAAGAGCATGGGTGTAGGCAATGAACACATAAGGGTCATCGACTAGTGTTAATAATCTCTATGAACACCTCTTTGCTGAATGCATTGCCTGCACTGAGTTCGCATTAATGCCTGTAGATTTTCTGCAGAGAAAGTGGAACAGCATTGCTTGATTAGGATAGTTCAATATACGTTCAGTAGGTACAAGATCGGGCGTTGGATGCCTATATACAGCAGAAAGGCAGCAAATACTTTAGCTTTGGGACGTCATGCATTGCCTACTGGTGCAATGACGTTCAGAGCTGGTAACGCAAGAAGCAGATACTTTAATCCCTGTAGCTTACTTACACTGTTAGATTGCCTTTAAAATGGCAGAGGGGAGTCTGATGACTAAATCATCTCTTGATCATAAGGGATCCACCACCAAACCTCTCTCTCACTTACAGTAGCATTTTGATACCATTCACCAGGGCGTCTCCCGACCATCATTAAACAACAGACAGCAGCATGACTCATCACTGAAGATTACTTGCCACATTGACACTCTCGCAAGGCCTTTAGGACAACATAACGATCGCACTGCTCTAGATGTTACAAGAAGCCTACCTGCACGAGGTCAATCTTACACCCTGCTGGGGGTACTTCTGCAGAGGCCTTCTATAATGGATATACCACCCTAGAGCCATCCTACTGCCATTCCCTCATCTAAGGCACTGACGTGTCGTGTTTCTGGCATTGGTGCTTCACCGGGACTACTGTCACAATATTGGCCCCACATTTTATGGCCAATATTGAAGTGAGGTAACCAACAAACACTACTTCCTCGTACACTGTTGCATTTAATTGAGTTGACATAGGGTGGGTGCGTTTGTGGGCACGTTTCACTCTTCAGTGAATTTATTTTTGTGCCTGGCAAACCGGACCGCTTTTAATTATCCTAATCACACCATCAGTCCAAGATGTCATGGCATAAAATGTATTATATCCGTAGACGCATTTTTGTGATTTGTGACATTTCTAACCTGTCCCTTTCAAATCTGTCAACCTAAGAAATTCTCTCCATTAAAAACAGCATGTTACCATTCGTATTTTGACGAGCATACTTACACAATGTACACATTTCATTAAACAGCTCCCAGTGTTTCACTACTATATTATATTGTGCATAGAAGAAATATAACCAATGAGTCAGATAGTTGACAACGGTCTTTTGGAGTCAAAGTCAAATCGTCCCCTAAACATAGTAACTCATTTATTCCTTTAATTCGCTTTACCGTCGAATGTCTAAAATATATACTGAACCAAATTTAAAACTTCACAATCCTAAAATTTTAACATTTTGACCAGTTATCATTGTGGGCCCTTATTGTGTTTTTAAACAGTAATGGCCACGTATTGTCTTCAGATAACACCTGTTTTTGTGCAGGTGAATCAATCAAAATCATGTGCACAGCATTATAGTGGCATAAGTGTTTTTTCACGTGCAACTGGTCACGTGGCCATAATACCGCACGTGTTTTCAGCCATACTTGTTGGCAGTCATTAACAAAAAAAGAAAAACACAAGAAAACAAAAGTTTTTACGGCCATTTGTCATGCCACGCCTTTCAAATGTGCAACGTGAACGTGCCATCGGCATGTTGCAGACGGGAACGTCCGTAGCTGAAGTCGCAAGGACGATGGGTTGTAGTCGACGGACTGTTTATTATTTACAGACGCGTCTACAGCAAACGGGTACCACCGCTGTTCGTCCTCGGCCAGGTCGACCACGTGTGACGTCACATGCAGAGGATCGTCAGATTGTCTTACGTCACCTCCGTAACCGATTTTTGACGGCTACATCAACCAGAAATTAACTGTTTAGGGGTAGGAGTGCGCAAACTGTTGGAAACCGTCTGAGAACTGCTCACCTTCAAGCACGGCGGCCATACTAGCGGCCGATTCTGACTCAATTACACAGACGTCAACTTCAATTGTGGGCACAGCGACACTTACGATGGACTCAGAGGAATTGAAATCAAGTTGTCTTCAGTGATGAATCCCGATTTAATCTTCGATTTGCTGATGGTAGGGCGAGGGTGTGGAGGCGATGTCATGAACGTTACGCCCTGTGTTGTGTACAGGAAGTTGACAGATTTCGAGGCGGAAGTGTCATGGTGTGGGGTGCTTTCTGTGGCAATGCACGTTCCAGGCTTCTTGTCATCCGTGGCAACCTCAACGCTGCTGCTTACCGCGACCAGGTACTGGCACAAGAACTTCTGCCTTTTATGGCAGCACATGGACCCGGTTTGATCTTCCAACACGTCAATGCCAGACCCAACACAGCAATTTTGACAAGGAATTTCCTTCAGAATGCGGGAGTCAACGTCATGGACTGGCCGTCAAGGTCTCCCGACCTCAATCCCATCAAACACGTCATGGATGCTCTTGGCAGACGTCTGCGCACTCTCCAGAACCAACCACAGAATTTGCAAGATCTTGGCACCATTTTGCAGCAACAATGGCGTCGTCTTCCCAATCATGAGTTCGCAAGCATCACAAGGTCCATGCGGATGCGTTGTGTGGCAGTTGTTAACGCACATGGTGGCCATGCACGCCACTGAACTTGTGTGCCATCAGATTCTCGTGCTTGGGACTTATGATTTAAACTGTTGATGTTATTACCGAATAACATAGGTGCTTGGAACAAATTATGGTTACCACCGTTAATTAAAATCCTTCTTTGGACATTAATGATTAAAAATTACCTTCTCTGATACATTTGTCCGTTGTATATCATATATGGGATTACTTTTAAAAATGTGAAGTTTTCAATTTGACTATATATATAGAAAACTATTTTATTTTACCCATACATACTTTGCCACATTATTCGTAAATATATCACTTTTGCCAAATGTAATAATATACACAGCACCGACTTCATTGTTTCCATATTGGACTGTTGTATCATTAAGTGGGTCCATCTGCAACCGTTTGTACTCAAGGCAAACAGATTGTAGGCCTATTGAAAAGACACCTTTTTATCCGACAAATTGGATAATTGATACATGTACAAGTACGTGTTTATATTTTATTCTGAAAAATATTACTCAGTGCCTCATTAATTATATCGGTATTAACACGTGTTCATATTTATTTTTCTAAAATAACAAGATCATGTATCATGACACATATATATATATACTTGTTTATAGTGTTTTGCAAAAAGAAATATAAACAAATACATATAAATGAACAGATTATTGAACACAATTATTGAATAATCTAGAAAAAAGAAAAGCCTTACGATGCGTTGGATCTAAGGTCAAGCAAGAGGGCGTTTTCAGCCTCAGTTTTGGATGAAGTGATCTGTGCACCAAGACTCTGGCACTGGCTTACGGCATCAACTCCAGTGTAGGCACCTGCCAACATCTTGTAACAGTGGCCAAGCAACGGTAGAAATTCTGGCGGACAGCCTGCGTAAAACAGAAACGTGTTATATTTGTGACATTCTAGTGCACAATTGTAATCTTTGTGTCATAATTTACTCTTAAAAATAAAACGCAATACGGATATTTTTGGCCAAGCAACATTAGCAGACCAAGAGCTGCAAAATGAAGAGGTTAAATGTGTTATATTGTCATTGGCAAATTTCCGGGATCAAAATGATCACAAGAAGGACATGCAAACCATAAGTCGGGAAACACGTACGATTCAGGAAAAAAATCACCCAGTGCATTAACAAGAGGGCCATGGAGCTGCACGTATTTCACGTGCAGCAGCACTATGAACGATAGTGCAGGGCATCTGCGTCAATGAAACTGTGACAGTTCCACAACATGCCAAGATTAACAAAAGAGCAAAGAAACAACGTCATAGGCCGCTTGGAGGCAGGGGAATCCCGATCAGCTGTAGCCAGGGTTTTCAATATAGCGCCCAGCATCATCACAAGGCTATTGGATGGGTTTCAACAGCATACTTGGATCAGCAGATTAAAATACCATATGATGTCACCATGGAGAAACACACACCACAAAGGTCTGTTTATTTCAGCGTGTCCAGGTGAGAAGTTTACAGAACCAGATATGCATTTTGAGGTCATAGTCAAATCAAGGTAGGACATTTAAAACATTTCACACAACGGAACACATATATTCAGCCCCTCTACTTACCACCCACATACAAAATGTCATTACATTTTGAAAAACAAGAGCCGAGTAATGGCCATAAGAGTGAGTGAGTGAGTTGGGTTTAACGCCGCTTTTAACAGTATTCCAGTTATATCACGGCGTGTCAGCTACGTGTGGGAGGAAAGCGCGAAGTGATGCAGGTCTTAGACGTTTACCACTTCGGTGAAACCCACGAGCACGGGTATGGTGCTTACCAACCTAGAAACATAATCGGGGCGAACCGGGGTTCGAACCCACAATCATAGGTTTCTGATGTGTCCAAGGAACGCAATTCTGCACAGCCTTAGACGACTGGGCAACCCATGCCCCGAATGCCCATAAGATGTTCAGGCTTTCAATGCAGAACTCACCATTTAAAGCATCCCTAAAAACGGAACTTGCGTTCAATCCTACTGATAAATTCACATGTACTAAACGTCATTATAGTTTGAACTAAAGTAACGGAGAAGTAACCAGAAATAGCTTTCAGTCCTTGTCTCGAGAACTGGGTGCTCCAGCAATGTGCTTACGACGCAGGCGTGGGTTGTCAGCTTGCTGTTCTCCCTCACTCTCTTGATCAGTCTGGTGTGGGGTTAGGGTGGACGCTATGATGTTCCACCTGTTGATCTCAGTATCCAAAGACGGGTTGTCTGTTATGGTGGGGCCGCGGTAGGTAAACTGGTTCACTTTGATGGAAACCACTGCATGTGGCTTGCTGTGATTCATTATGTTTTCCTTGTCTTTGTTGAGCTGAGTTATCTGCATAAAAAGACTGCCTTCAGGTGAGCCAAATTTTACAATATCCATCCGATACTGTGTGAAGTTAGACTCTGAAAGTTGAAGGTTCAAAGCTTGCTTCAGCATGACTGTATGGAAGAGTATGTGAAACAAGGTAGTACACCGCCTTGGTTTACTCCACTACTGATGCCAAAAGCCCCAGAAACAACTGTCAAACTGCATGGCGACTTTCATGTCAGTGTGGAGTGACTGGATCATATTGAGGAGCTATTCTCGGCACACCATATCAGCAACTTTCTGTAGAACCACATGAGCAAAGAGCTCAATTTCTGGGGTACCACACCCTCTTCCCAACACTGACTCAGAAGTTCATACAGGTGGCTTAGCAAGAACCCTTTTCCTCAGTTGACAGTCCCGGGAAGGATCCTATCTATTCTGAGCACTTACCTGAAAAACAGCCTTTTTCTCCTCCTCCTCCTCCGTTGTTTTCGCTTGAGTAGCGCTGAGAAGTGCGCAACCCATATCGCCATCTGCTTGCCTTTGTCACCGCTCATTTTGCCAATTGCAGAACTCAGCGTTGGATTTCTATTCGTGCTACGCCCTTTCCTGAGTGACAGGGATGAGCTTGCAGGACTGGGCGTTGAGGCAATCATGCTTCTTGCCAAAGGTGTCTTCAGAAGACAGGTGCTGCACAGGTAGTGGTGTGTGCACAGCTTGAGAAGCCATCTATCTTCATTCATCTTGACAGAAGCGCCAGGATTCGTGGTCAGTACCCACTCTTTCCTGAAGTTACTCAGCTGTAGCAGCTTTTCATGATTGTTCTGGAGCTGGCTGTTAAATTGGAACTCGTCCATCGTGTGGAAACGGTAGAAACGGAAAAGGGTAAAAACGTACACCCTAATGAGGCCCATTGAATGTGACGAGTCGGAAGAGTCAGAAGACTCCATTCTATTCTTGTCAGAATCTCTCTCATTCTAAACAAAGAGTCCTTGACAGCAAAGCCGATGGCATGGTTTGGTTTGATCAGCTCATGTAGGTACATGTAGGTGAGATGATTTCCACTTGCAGTCTTCAGAGTTCGGTTTTGATGACAGTGGTCTTGTGTACATCACTCATCTCCAGGAGGTCCACTGACAATCCGTTTGTCATGGTGCTGACATTCCAGCATCCCAACCTGAGAGCTGGCTTCTTTGGTTTCTTTCTTCCGGTCTTAGCTGGTACAAAGTTAACAGTCCGTGGGTCAGGCTTCTCAGAGACCAATACGTTACCCCCTTCCACCATCGGGTGACCACCATTCACTGGCAGACTCCTGCTTCCTGGATTGTCTAGTCACTCTGAGGGGATCCGTATCATCGTCAGCAGCTAAAGGGATGGTGTAAATCCTGGGGAATCGTGCAGGTAGCAGAAGATTCGTAAGTCCCCACGGTCCCTAGTAAGGTGGCCTAACTTTGGTTGCTGGTGATCTATAGCCCATTTTTATACTGTATTGTTGAATGATAATGTATTCTTATAAACATTCTAAACAAGTTTTAAAATCGAAACTAGTTATTATACTATCAATCGTTGACAGATTTTTATACAATCTCGATATAATTATTATAAATGTTTCGCCACGATATGGCTGAGATACTGCCGATGTGACGTTACATTTTACTCACTTACTCACTCACTCACTCTCAGGGGATGCTGAGGTTATTTCTCCAGTGTGCAGGCCTGGACAGGTTGATGCACATGCAACATGCCTCCCAACCCCCTCTCCACGTCTCAATGCTAGATACAAGGGAAAGGCAAAATCCAATGTTATTTGGTTTCAGAGCTGCCTGAAGGGTGTTTTTGAGACAACAGCATACTGCCTTGGAGACCCTGACTGCAGATTTATGACTGGGGTTTATGAACTCGGTATCTTACCTCCTTCTTGATGTGTGCAGAGAGGCCAAAGTAGGACCAGCATCACGTACAAGTACAGTTCCATATTCCGCGAATGAAAACTGATGTCAATACTCTACTGAAATATAATTAACACAATTTACTAATGCAACTGTCATATATTATAAATGTTAATCTGATCATATGGTAGATATTACCATATTTGGATTTTTAACAGACGTGTTTACCTTAAGCTGAGCTTTGCAGGAATATTGCCTCCACCCTTATTTTACACAAGGTTTGAATGCTGTTTGTTTTTGCGTATGTATGCTATTTGTAAAACTGTCACCTACAGCATGTATTCCTCAGAGGAAGCAAAGCATTTGGTAGCCCTAAAGGACGGATCATTCTTGGGATGGTTTTGAGAAAAGTACTTCATTTAAAAAATACGGGGAAACATAATTTTGCCTTTTAAATAAAAAATACTGTCTGGTGTCATAAGGATGGATGGTTTGTTGTTTAACGCCGCACTAAGCAATATTCCAGCTATATGACGGCGGTCTGTAAATAATCGAGTCTGGACCAGACAATCCAGTGATTGACATCATGAGCATCGATCCACGCAATTGGGACCGATGACATGCATCAACCAAGTCGCCTTTTACGACAAGCATAGTCGCCTTTTACGGCAAGCATGGGTTGCTGAAGACCTATTCTACCCCGTAATCTTCACAGGTCTGTGGTGTCATAAGGTCACATTGTCAGTCCCAGTAAAAAGACTTATTTAATATGTATAATTTATTTCTAGGTATTATTTCTAATCTGACACGTAAAAAGTTAAGCCAGTAGAACCGACCGTACGACTGCACATAAACAGATATACAAATACATGTTTTTCGTGTACACAAATAGATATACAGATACATGTTTTTCGTGTCTACGTGGTAATTCGTTATGAGATAACCAGTATAAGGAAAATAAGACATTTTTGATTTAGGAGATAAACCTACTGTGTTTTTAAATTTAATGTCCCACTGTAGAATAGATACCTCTTTATTATAATTTTGAACCTCGCGCAACGCGTAATAACACAGGTGCACAGGTCTTAAAACTTTCAGAAAAGTGGTCACAAGTAGTTATATATGTAACAATTATTACTAAAGTTCAAGATTAAAAACACCATAGTCGTGAGTAGTTCATAATAAGTGTTCAAAACACATAGTGTTTCAAAAGACGTTGACAAATAACACATGACAATAAGAGATGTTTTAATTTTTTCCAAACTGTTGTACACTGTGGACTGACTGTCATTTCTCGTAATTTTGAGAGAGAGGTCATTTCTTTGAAATCGAACATGCCATCATTTCTATTGTAGGGGTGACAGGTAATAGAAAAAGGTTTTAAAATGCTAAACGAATATATTTCTACATCAAACTTTATAAATTAACATTCCAGTATACATTTAACATGTGTAAGTGTTATTAGTTAGTTAGCAATTACCCCCAGTAAACAATCATAAAATCAAAATAAATGCCTCTCCATCCCGAACTTGGATGTGGCAGAACTTGACCTACATCACGGTTACTCACACCTCACAGTTGTCAATGGCTGACAATCTGTGCTTACATTCTCCGTAGTTATAGAATGAAGCAAGATGACAACCCCGACGTATGATGTGGTTCAACATTAACAGGTAGACATTCTGGGATTGGTAGGGCCTGCTGGTACATCCTTATGATTACCAATGTGACTGAGTATGACTTTACAGCCGCTTTTTAGGCTGCAGACAAGCGGGATATTTTGAAACGAGGAATCTGCATGGTGTGACCTATTAATTTCACGATTTCACGGATCTAAAGCCAAATAGTGACAGAACTTAGACATTTGTGTCCCAGAAATAGTGGATCGTGTATGATTTCCTTAATTGTGCGTGTTCTGAAATGAATTTCATCAAGTTTGAAAAGCTGTCACTTCAGTTGGGACACTCTTTTCCTGGACTTTCAAATCACAGGAACTCGTTATTGGTCAGTAAATAAAAATATATATCCCCCATATGTAAGTAGAGAAAAGGAGCGTCACTCGCCATCTTGCCGGTTTGTTTACATTCGATATCCATGGCGATTTAATCTATTATACGCTTATTGACAAGCGCATTTCTGGACGTAGATTGATCGATAACACATTTCTACACGTGTACAAGTCATCTACATTCGATGAATGTCCCTTACTTACCGAAATATCGACAGTTTATTTCGCGAACTGGGAAAATGTTACCAACCCCAAGCGGAAGTAGATTTCAAACGCGGGCAGAAACGAGCGAGCCACCATATATACATAATTTATAGTCAACATACATTCCTATAAATCTTTACTGTATGTAGCGGCCATAAAATTTCCGAGTCCCGTGATGGGATTCGAACCACGGACCTTCTGATCCGAGGTCGGACGCCTTGTCCACTTGACCAAAGAGGTTAACCCCGTCAGCAAGCTGACAAGATAAGGATGTCATCTGTGGGATGACTCCACGCCCTGCTACATACTCCCCCGTCAACAGAAGGCACGTCCCGGGCCGCATAGTAGGGTACTGAGGCTTATTTTGCTCAAATTTAATATGAACGTGCTCAGCCCCACGTTGGGCGCCAATGTAGCGGCCATAAAATTTCCGAGTCCCGTGATGAGATTCGAACCACGGACCTTCTGATCCGAGGTCGGACGCCTTGTCCACATGACCAAAGAGGTTAACCCCGTCAGCAAGCTGACAAGATAAGGATGTCATCTGTGGGATGACTCCACGTCCTGCTACATGTACATCTCATATATATACCTATACCTATACATACATACATACATACATACATACATACATACATACATACATACATACATACATACATACATACATACATAGGAATATAAAGTCGACATAAAACCTATAATTGATGATGAACCTCTGTGAAGTGTGTAGGATTTAAAAGCGCTGTTTAAACTTTCATGTGAACCTCCGAACTTGCGAGGAGGTTCACATGAAAGTTTAACCAGCGCTCAATGAACCCATCCAAACTGACGTTCAATTCTTAAGTCAACCTAGATTAAATACAAATACATACTTCAGTCGTTTGAAGCCAGAAGGCAGAGGTATTCCCGGGAAAGAAGCCAACTCTCGCAGTTGATCACAAGCGCTGAAACTTCTCTCGCGGAATACATTTTTTTAAATAAAGCGATTACAGCAAGACAGAGGACCCGTTTGATAGTGATAGAGGGAAATCTCAATGGACAGCGCTACCGCGACGAGGTCATCGGCCCTGTTGTTCTTCCGTTTTTGCGTCGTCATGACCAAGGCATTACCATTCAACATGACAACGCCTTCGACAACGCCTTCGACGTCAACCACGTGTTCCACAGACACTCCAGCAACTTCCAAACATGCTCCAGCATATATGGACAGACATCCCACAGGACTTTGTGCGACGCCTGGTCCATTCCATGAGACGAAGATGTGTTGCTTGCATCGCAACCGGAGATGGAAACGCACGCTATTGACTTGTAAATTGACATTTTGGCATGTTCATGGTTTTTTTTTATGAAATCACGCATTTTCTGAATCAATATGGCAAATTGAACCATTTGAACACTTACAGGAGTCTTTTATCTGTTGCAAACCGAAATTGTTTCAGATTTGGTCAAACACATAACTGCATTAAATCTTATTCAATGTCACAGGAACTTTTATTGTTCAGTATATTTCCGTCGTCATCCTATGGTACATAATTTGAATAAATTTAAAATTATAAATGCTGAAGCACGACATACGTCTATTCATGTATTCAATACAGCCCCTTAACAAGTTGACGATACTGCTACAGGAGCTGATAACAATCATTATCCTGAAACACTTACCAGAATCATCGTAAGTAACATTATTGACTATTTTGATCAAATTTGGACGTCTGGGAAATATCCTCCTTCATGGCGTGATGCTGTAGTTATCCCAAAACCCAAACCTGGACAAGATCATACAGACCCTTCACATTATCGACCAATATCATTGACAAGCTGCGTTTGCAAAACCTTGGAACGCATGATATTTAATCGACCAGTTTGGTACTTAGAAACGAACAATCTAATTACTAACATATAATGTGGTTTTCGGAAAAAAACCCAGAAGAATCATCGATCATTTGGCTCGCTTAGAATCATTTGTTAAAATTGCAATAATAAATAAACAACATGAGGTGTCTATCTTTTTCGATCTAGAAAAAGCTTATGACACTACATGGAAACATGGTATTTAAAAAAGATTTACATGCTTTGGGATTGCGAGGCCGTTTGCCTCAATTCATATCCTAGTTTTTAACTGACAGGCAATTTCAAGTCCGCGGGGGTTCTACCCTGTCTCCTCATAATAATCAGGACCAGGGTGTCCCACAAGGCAGTATATTGTCTGTCATTTTGTTTAGTATTAAGATAAACAGTCTATATTAAGTTTTAAATGATTCGATTAATGGATCGATGTTTGTGGATGATTTAAACATTTCTTATCGTGGCAAAAGCATGAATACTATTGAAAGGCAACTGCAGCTATGTATAAATAAATTAATAAATGGTCTTTAGAGTATGGATTTATGTACTCAAATTCTAAAACAATTTACGATATGTTAGTTAGGTTTGATGCCGTTGGTAGGAATACATGGGTTTCGGCTATTAAGAATATGTTATATTCTCATGGCTTCGGACATGTGTGGGAATTTCAAGGTGCTGGTGATCCTGAATATTTTATAAGTGAGTTTAGACTGAGGGTTAAGGACTGTCATGCACAAACATGGTATTCTGAATTGTCTGGATGCTCGAAATTAGAACTGTATTCATTATTTAAGACATCATTATCACTTGAACCGTATCTATTAAATGTATTATCAAAAGAAAAGCGACGTATGCTAACCCTTTAACGTATTGGAGAACTGGGAATTATGCATAACACAGGAAGGAGGGATGGCATCGATAAGACACTCCGGTTTTGTCCATTGTGCAAGTTAAGGGCAGTTGAAAATGAAATTCATTTCATTCTTGTTTGCCCCATTTATGAAGATATTCGCTCAAAATATTTCCCATATTTAGACTTCATTACTGGTAATAATCGTA